GATAACAACAAAATTCATCTTGATAACATGGCATTTTCATATACCTACTACATATAATAGGTAAGCTAAATTATCTTCAATTATAACGTTTGGCGGTTATGTGTATATTATTTACCCCTTACACTTGACAGCTGTACACAAATTCAAATTTTAGCGCGCTTGCGTTTGCGCAGTACAGGGAGTCAGTGTGGAACACATCTGCAAGTGTGAGGTCCTGATCTACATTGTCAGCAACAGAATTAGAATCGGAGTGTTCATTGTCAGATTCGGCATCCACATCCATTGCAATCAGCTAGGTTGCTATCTAAATATTGATTAACTAACCATCACCAGTCCATTACCAATTACCATTCTACTTATTTGCATGCATATACATACCTTTTTACGTAGTTAAATTTACGTAAATTACCAAACCGCTTTTGATTTAACGCAGTGACTACTGGCACGTTAGAGTGCCTGTAATATATTTTTTTGCGCGATCGGTCATTTCTGACTATTTACCATGGGTGTTTCCATGACAGTAGGTAGAATTTACCAGTTGCTATGATTACGACGACGTCAAAATTACTTACCGACCTAAAAACAGAACAGCAAAAATACTTACCGACGCCTTTTTAAAAATCAACAGTCTTACATTACATTTAATCTTTAATTATTGTTAGGTAAATTAAACGTACAATTTGTGCTGTTGTTTCCTATAGCAAGACGCTCATAAAGTCATAAAGGAAGTGCAAAGCTAGTAAACTACATCAGACACATGCACATTTTTATGAAATTATTCATTTCAATTTTGACAAGTAAACTGGTTACCTACCACTTCGATCATTTCGATTCATTCTGCTCGTTAATTTCTTAGTGCATATTTATATTGGTTGCATAGTTTTAATTTCGATCGCGCAAAAAAAGTTATAAGCACGTCGAACGTTAAGGGTTACCGTTGTCAGACAATAATTGGAGTCGTCGCTTCGCTCCTCCTCCAAACAATTGTCTTCGAACGGTAAAAATCCCTTACCGTTCTCCATACTTAATATACTATTTACAGGCACGTTAGTGACGTCAAAATAGATACTGTCGTCATTGACGTGCCTATTATTTGAAAATTGGCGCCACGTCATACGGATAACCTACAAGTAAAAATAAATAACAATAAATGTCTAACCTCTGTTTTGTTTATGTTAGGGCAGTTAGGGTGATCGTGTACTTTAAACATGGAATCTTGCGTTAAAGGTACTTTAAGTAAAGCAAGTGGGGAGTAGATATAGGTAGGTGTACATTCTTGTTCATTCATATTATTTTGTTTAGATAATGACACTGGGCCTGCATCAGCAGCAGTAGAGGACTTTTATATAGGTCAAAAGTTTGATTCATATAAAGCATTATGCGATTATATAATGAAGTATGAAAAGTCCAAGAAACAAAAATTTTCAAAAAAACGTAGTCGTACGATAGCAGGAGCTTCAAAAATTCTAAAAAGACCTTTAGACCCTGCGTTAGCATATTATGAACTACATTATGCTTGTGTTCACGGTCAAGAACGGCCAGCAAGAGGAAATGGATTAAGGCAAACAAAGTAAGTAAGTAGTTTGTTCCTCTACGCTAATAAATAGAGAATTGTAGTACTTTACGACTGGAGTGTCGGGCGCATTTTACTTTGCGAGCGTGTTCCACTGGCCAATATTTGGTTATACAAAGTACAAACTTAGAACACACGAATCATGAGATGTCCACGGTATTATAGAATAAGGAAATTACCTATACCCATGTATTTATCCCTTATTGTAGACTTTTTTTGATCATTTACACTGCAATCGTGCCCTAAATGAGACTGAGACAGAGGATGTTGCCACTTATTTATCTTTGGGAGCGAACAAAAAGAAAATTCAAAATAAAATATTAGCAGACAGTGGTAAAAAGACAACATTGAAAGATATACACAACATTTATTCCAAAACGATACTCGGACGGAACAACTTAGTTGAAGCAGTTCATTTGCTAGAAGATAAGTATTGTAAGTGAATACTATCAGGGAGAGTTCAAGTATTACGGAACGTGTTAAAGGGTAGGTGGCTAAAAGTGTTGAAAAACTGTTAGTGATATTTGAACGCTCCGTTATTGATAATTACGTGCAGCTATGGTACACCTCCATGCATGTATAGCTAATTATTTATTCATGTTGAACAGGTTGCAATGTCCATCTGCTTTGTGATGAAGAACAGCAGTTTAAAGCTCTACTGTTTTCCACAGAAAATATGAGAAATGCAATGAATGCATGGCCAGAATTTGTCAGTGTTGATGGAACCTACAAATTACTGAATATGGGATGTACACTCTTCCTGTTTGTGGTGGAAGACTCAAATGGACAATCGGTAATTGCATCTGTCGCTCTTATTGCTGTTGAAGACAGAGATGCATACCATTGGATTTTTAACACTTTCAAAAACGAAATGGAGACTGATGGAATCAAGTGTTAAAGGGGATAAAGATTTCGTGGAACGTGATGTAATAAAAGAAATCTTTCCGGGAGTACCAGTTTATCTCTGCTTATTTCATACTCTAAAAACATTTAGACGAGAGATAAATTGCGATAAACTGGATATATCCAAAGAGGAACGCGACTTATCCTTAGAATACCTGCAGAAATTAGTGTATATAAAAAATGCAGCAGAATATGACTTAATGTACAAACAATTTAGTGAATGTGTTCCAAAAAAAGTTTTGGATTATTTCAATAAAAATTGGCATGGAATTTGCAATGAATGGCTTGTTTTTAACATGACAAGTAGTAACATGAATAATACAACAAATAACAGAATGGAATCTATTAATCAGAAAATTAAACAAGTTGTATCCAAAGATAGCTCTCTCCTAGATTTTATAAATACTTTTTTTGTTTTTTTGGATTCTCATTATCAAGAGCGAGACGCTATAGCGGCCAAACACTTCCTCAAAAAATCTCTCCAACGATTTGAAAGTCATAAGGAAGATATGGAAGCGTATATGAGCTTATTAACAAATTATAGCTTTAATTTTGTGCAAAAACAAATTACATGTATGCAAAAAGTTAAAATAATTGGTGAAGTTGGGGATAACATCAGATTTATAATTAAAACTTCGAGAGGGAATATATCTGTTGCTGTTGATAATTGTGAATGTGGGGATTTTGCTTCAATGATGTTACCTTGCAGACATATTTTAGCTGTTAGAAAACTAAAAGATCTACCACTATTCATTCAAGAGATTTGCCATAAAAGATGGACAAGAGAGTATTATTTGTCAAAACAAAGAGTTGGTCGGGTATGCACTGGGGAAGTTACAAAACCAAACTGTACAATCAGTGAAAAACCTAAAACATTGACCTTAACGGAGAAAAGAAAATCAGCAACACTAGTAACTAATTCACTTGTGCATTTGTTAAGTCTTTCAAGTAACAGTGATTTTTGTTATAAGCTCGAGGTATTAAAGAAAATTGAAAACATTTGGAAAAGTGGTAAAGAAGTAACTCTAGGTCTTTTAAATGATGACTTCGAAAACAGTGACGAAAATAATATTCCTAATAGGCCTGAAGAACATATTGCTTCTAGTAACGAATCTTGTATCACACCTAATGAAAGTAGTACTAACGAAATAAGTATACAAGAGGAAGAAAGTCAGTATAACTGCTCTAATGAAGAAAATGAAAACGTACTGTTTGACGGTTTTGTTACTGACACTAATCACCAACCCTTACAAATGAACAGTTTACCTCCAAATCCTACAACAGATCAAGAATCTTTAGAGATGAATGTTACTTCTGATGCAGAAGGAACAAATCTGCTCGACCACGAGGTTGTCCTCAAGTCTATTATCTTACCACCAAAAATTAAAAAAAGGGGTAGACCTAAAGGTCATGACACAACCACTATCGGCTTGAAAAAAAAGCGAAACAAACAATTACCTTCCAAATTTACATTGAAATCAACAACATCGCAATTGTTGTATGTTTTCTCTTTAATATGCACCGAAAATATAGCAGAAATAACATCTGACTCAATTGAAACCAATACATTTAAAGTAAATGAAAATGACTTAAGACAAGAGTTACCAGATGCTATCTTGGGTAAGTATAGATAAGGGAAATAAACAGAACAAAATGTCTAATATTTTTTATGTTTTTTAGATCCATCAATATATGAAAATTTAAATTTGTGTAAATACTTCAACACAGGGGCATGGGATTTGTTCCAAAGAAAACTAAATGAAAAGAGAGAAAAACGAGTGGAGGTGCAAATCCTTCAAAAAACTTTTAAACAACGAACCAACAATTGTGTGCGAAAGCTGCTTGTTTTGGTACCATGTTTCGAAATGTTCAGGGTTGAGAAGAATTCCAAAAATTAGGACTTGGTTTTGCCAAGAATGTTATAATAATTAATTTAAGTAATATGTATCTCTAGGAAGGCATTCACAACTCCCTGAAGATTTGTTTAGCACACTGCTATACATGATACGTCATACAATTAGCTATAAAATCTAAATATCACACTTGTACATACACATGGCTACTTCCCTTTTAAAATTTCTAAGAGCCTTAAAAAATATAGTTTCGAGTTCGACTTTTTTGTCTAATGTTTAATATAAATAAACTCTGTAAAACTACTTTAGCCTTTATTTTCACAGAAAACTTATTTTTTTAAAAAATAATTAAATCGTTCCATTACTTTTGACACATTACTATGGTTTAAAACTTAAATGCTAAACAAAGTTCAATATGTCTTCACTAGATTTAAACGCATTGTTGATGTGGCAGATCAGTAGCGATGTTACAAATCCAATCCTGAAAATCCGAAGGTTCAATGATGTTCCGTTGGCGTGATCTCAATCGACTTATAAAAAGCGCAACAGGCGCCGAACGACCGCCAGTTAGTGAAACTACAAGCTCTTTTTTTATATATTTGTATAATCAAATTTATCAAATAAATAGAGCTTGAAACTGCTGTCCATCACAAAGCAGATGGTCATTGCAACCTGTTTAACACAAATAAATTAGCTACACACATCTAAACAAAATAATATAAGGGCCAATTGCACAGGTTCGGTATAAATATAAACTTAAGTAAGTAGAACTTAAACTAAAGTAGAGCTTAACTAATTTTTTCGTTGCACACCGTTGTTCTAAAGTTCTACTTTGCAAAGTGGGACTTAGTAATGTATAACATATGGCAACATCGCGAATTTTAACTTGTTTACTACAACATAACCTTACATTTCGTTAGTTTAATTTGAATAATGGACGTTACAAAAAATAAACGAAAGAGAACTTCGAATTTTACAGCCGATGAAAAAGACACATTATTTAATATAGTCTACAATTATAAGCATGTGGTGGAAAATAAAAAAACAGATGCCGTGACATGGCGTGAAAAGGAAAATGCCTGGGAAAAAATTGCATCCGATTATAACTCAATGGCCAGTATACCTAGACCAATGGAATCGCTTAGGAAATGTTACATGAATAAAAAAAAACAAATACGACAAGATGTTTCTAATGAACGGATCCAGCTGCTGCAGACCGGTGGGGGGCCCCCTGAAATGCCAAGAGATGATCCGCATAAAGAATTACTGCTAAAAATAATGAATAAAAAAACAATTGCAGGATTAGATAACTCATTTGACATGGACAATATTGTACAGTCTTCGTGCGATCAAAATGAAAACACACAATCCCCTGGCAATCCGGCTAGTGAAACAAGTAGTTATGTTGGAGAAGTTGAAATGTTGTCTCCCTGTGATATTGATAATATCGAAGTAATTACAGAAGACGATCCAATTGCTGTTAATTTGGAGGAAAACCAGGTCAGTATTGTGTGTAATGTGTGTCAATGCAAGTCTTGTTAATCGTAATGTTTTAGGAACGAATAATCAATTGGGGCGATTATAAATCTTCGCACTTGAAAACCCCCGTGACCAATAAACTCAAAACAGCACGCAACAATGCATCTAGTAGCCGTTGGACAGCGAGACGCCGACCAATTGTAAAAGCCCTTACGACAAATGAGATTTCAGTGGAATACATGGAATTGGCAAAAATTAAAAAAGAAAATGCAGAACTTCAAAAGCAAATTTTAGAAGCTGAGCTTACATTTAAACTCGAAGAAAATAAATTAAAAGTAGAGGGACTTATCTTAGACAATAAGATAAAACAGTTACAACTAAAAAAATTACTGGAAAAATATTAATGTAATTTTTTTTTATATAGGTACATTTACATGGTTACATTTTATTCATTTGAATTAATGTTTAGTTTTATAAAGCAAGTATTTCATTATAATCTACCAAAATAGTTTATAAATTCTTGTCTTACGTTTCTACCTTCATTAATATTTGGTTGATTATTCTGTGGCAATATTTGGATATTCCCTTCGTTAATATTCATAATCTCGTTATCATCTAAGGGTGCTTCTTCTTCATTCATATCTCGTGCAATATTATGAAGAACAGCTGTTGCAATTATAACAACTAGAGTTGTTTGTACTTTCAGACGTGAGCCATAACAAAGAATGGGAAACCTTCTCTTCCATATTCCAAATAGTTTTTCCACTGATCCCCGTGTTCTTATGTGGGCTTCATTATACAACTGCTCCGCATTGCCTTGCGGATTTTGGATTGGTGTTAAGAGGTACTTTTTTAAATTATATGCACTATCACCTACAACAAAATTGAGTGCATACTATAACTAGTTTAATTCAGGTTAGTATTTACCTAACAGTACACCATTCTGAAGTCGTCTATTCTCTAAGAAAGCACGTACTGAACTGTTATTAAATATTGTTTGGTCGTGTGCTGACCCAGGCCATCTAGCAACAATATGTAGAAATTTGTTCTTTGCATCAGATATTGCTTGCACATTAATAGAAAAGTACATTTTTCTATTTCTAAAAACTTCAGCATCGTCGCCGCCTATAAAGTAACCCTATTGTAAAATTGATACATAAACTTAATATATTACCGGGTGATTGTATTTTAATATGAGTGCCATCCACAGCACCTATTACTTTTGGAAACGCACTTATATTGTAAAATTCTCTTTGTACACGAATGTTTTCCTCATGAGTAGAAGGGAATTTTATAAATTGAGGTAATAAGGTTGCAATAGCTTCCGACACCTTTCTTACTACGCGTGATGCTGTTGATATGTGTACGCCTAAAAAATCCCCTACACTCATCAAGTGTTGGCCTGTTGCATAAAAACGCAGTGCTAATAACAATTGGTTGATAGGTGCTACAGCATTATTCCTACAATACTTTTATTGTAGTACTCATTGAAATCAAAATTTCTGGACTTACATATCATATGGAAATTCTAACTGTACTTCGATGAGCATTAGAATTTGATTCACTGTGCCTTTTGTTAAACGAAATCGTTAAAAAAACTCAAAGTCACTCATAGTATCCATGTAATACTGCCTAACATAAACTGCTCTTGGTATACCAACTTCGAGTATTTCTATTACATCAAGATCATCCTCAATAGCATCATTGTCTTCAAAATCCATTGATATCAAGTTGTTTATTAGGTTATTTACGAGTACGAGGTTAGAATTCAACTTAAGCCCAAGTAAATGTTCAGCTTAACTATAAGTTCAACTTAAGAAAATAAGTAGAACTTATAATGACTGTGCAAACCATAAAGCGCTACTTAAATATTTAAGTTAAACTTAACCTTTAAGATGTAGTGGTGCAATTGGCCCTAAATGAACAAGAATATACACTGTTATATCCATAACACTTCAGCCCTAAACTTAGACACTTCCAAGAAAGTACATGTTACAGCGCAGACGCAAGGACGGCACTCTGCGCAGCGGTGAGGATGTACAAACAAAGTGAACGATAGAATGTTAAATCATTGCATCATTAATTAGTCATAATAAAGAACTAAATCTTATCGTTTTAGCGTAATAACTCCCTAATACACCTGACATAATATACACCTACCTATATCTACTCCCCACTTGCTTTACTTAACGTACCTTTAACGCAAGATTCCATGTTTAAAGTACACGATCACCCTAACTGCCCTAACATAAACAAAACAGAGGTTAGACATTTATTGTTATTTATTTTTACTTGTAGGTTATCCGTATGACGTGGCGCCAATTTTCAAATAATAGGTACGTCAATGACGACAGTATCTATTTTGACGTCACTAACGTGCCTGTAAAAAATATATTACAGGCACTCTAACGTGCTAGTAGTCACTGCGTTGATTTAATGCTAACGTAACCTCAAACAACAAGAACACGCAGCACATGACCACAGAATAGAGCATGAATGAATTCTCCTTTCAGTATACTATAGAACAGACAGTTAAATACAGGGTGCTATCACTGATGCAACTACACTACGCAATTGCAAAGTGCGAACGCAATCTGTTACTATAGTAATCAATAAGCAATCGTACAAACACTCTACAATATGTGATATTATCGTATGGAAGCGTACGATGATAAAGTCGTGATCGTACATCGTACTTGAGGGCTAATTATCGTGTAAGTACGATAATTATATCGTATGGTTGGCAACACTGGGTTGAAAAGGCAAGGTGCTTACTATTTGATGCTAGTTTCCCTAAGCATTTTTGGGCTGAAGCCATGGATACAGCTGTGTGTCTCAGAAATCGATCTGTTGTTTCAGGACTAGATAACAGAACTCCATATGAAGTTTTTTATTGTAAGAAATCGAATGTAAGTCATGTTCGCATATTTGGTAGCGAAGTAATGGTTCATGTACCCAAGGAAAAGAGGCAAAAACTTGACAAAAAGGCAGAAAAAATGTTTTTAGTGGGCTATGGTAAAAATGTCAAGGGGTACAGGTTGTATGATCCTGTCAAAAAGAACGTCATTACCAGCAGGGATGTAATAATTAATGAGAAACCTAAAATACTAAAAACATTTGATTTCTTAGAAACGCCGTGTACAAAAAATTTGTCAGAGGAGATTTCAGCTCAAGTGGGGGAAGAAAACCATAGTTTACAGCTTGACGAACAAGAGGACTACTTTGATTTCGCAGATGACCCTAATGACGTAGAGTTCTTACCACCGAATGTTGAGATACCTGAAACGATAAGAAGATCCGAGAGGCAGAAAAAACCAAAACAATTCGATGGCTATGTAATATTTCAGTGTCGAAGTGAGGTAGGCCTAGATGACATCCCAGCATCAGTATCAGAGGCATTGTCAAGACCCGATGGGAACAGATGGCAACAAGCGATGGAAGATGAAATGTCGTCTTTCAAAGACAACGAGGCATGGGATTTGGTTGATTCTCCCAGTAGCGGCACATTAGTCGAGTGCAAGTGGGTTTTTAAAAAGAAAGTGGATCATGAAAATAAAATGTGTTATCGTGCGCGTCTAGTTGCGAAGGGTTATACGCAGCGTGAAGGTTTAGACTTTGACGAGACTTTCTCTCCTGTAATCCGATATTCGAGTTTGAGGTTATTATTGGCCCTTTCTGTAAAACTAGATTTAGAAACCACACACCTAGACGTGAAGACAGCTTTTTTGAATGGAGACCTGCATGAGACAGTTTTTATGCGTCAGCCAGAAGGTTTTGTTACTGAAGGTAATGAGAATAAAGTTTGCCGTTTAAAAAAGGCTATAATTATGGATTGAAGCAGTCTTCACGTGCATGGTACCAAAAAGTAAACGAAGTATTAATTAGTCTTGGTTTCAAAAAGTCTAATTATGAGTCGTGTATATATCTTAAAAGGAAAAATAGTAGTTTGATTATAGTAGCATTGTACGTGGATGATTTTGTAGTTTTTAGCAATGACAGGTCTGAAACAAATTTTTTGAAAAATCAGCTAAGCTCTAATTTTAAGATTAAAGACTTGGGACAGTTAAAATTGTGTTTAGGGATGAGAATCAGTAGAAAAGAGGACAGTATTAGTTTAGATCAGAGTGCTTACATAGATCAGTTACTAAGAAAATTCAAGATGTCAAATTGCAATGTTGTTAGTACACCTATAGATAATTTTGATTTTTTTACTTGAACAACTTTCAGAAGTACCATTGTACCAAAAGCTAATCGGTAGTTTAATGTTTTTAGCAGTACTGACAAGACCTGACATTGCATACAGTGTAAGTTTTTTGAGCCAGTTCAATAATGATCATGGTGAATACCACTGGAAATGTGCAAAAAAGGTATTAAGATATTTAAAGGGGACAAAAGATCATTGTTTGACTTACAAAAAGGATGATTTAAAGCTAATGGGGTTTGTTGATGCTGACTGGGGTTCAAATAAGTTGGATCGAAAATCTTACACTGGCTTTGTATTTAAGTTTGCAGGGGGAGCGGTCTCCTGGAAAAGTAGTAAGCAGAAAACCGTTGCTCTTTCTAGCACGGAGGCTGAGTACATGGCCTTGGGAGATGCAACAAAAGAGGCCATTTATCTCAGAAATTTACTGTCAGAAATTCATGGAGGACTGGATACTGTTACACTCTTTAACGATAATCAAGGAGCTCAAAAATTATGTAGCAATCCAGTATTCCATGAAAAGACAAAGCACATTGACATCAGGCATCATTTTGTTCGAGAAGCTGTCGATAAAAAGATTGTAGATGTTAAATATTTTATTTGTTACTCAGTTGTAAACGTTGATTAACAAGACAAAACGCAAACGGGTAAACGTCATGTTTAAACGCTACTGACTTGTAAAACTGACAGCTGACGTGTAAAAATTTTACAAGTTAGTAATCTAGTAATTTCATTGGCCAGAATTAATGCGAAGTCTCTGTTACATGGATCACATGATATTTTAGACATTTCTTCAAGATCAATTTAAGAACTAATTATTTACGTTTACTATTGTCACAGATCTACACATACACAGATTGCTAACCTTATGCATTTTTTGGGAAACAAATTTAGGTATACTTAAAAGCGCCCTCTATGGCGGAGCAGTATAAACATGTAACGTTTAAAACTATAATATGACGCTTGCTACGGGGGTTCCTTCTGGACTTGAAAATTACCATCGGTTCCGCCCGGCAAAGCAAACCGTCTTCTTCTTAGGCTGCTCAATCGATAAAAATAAATGCTCCGGTTAACTCAAATCGGTGGGCTTTTAACTCTTTTGAAACTGTGTAACAAACCTTAACCTGCCGCCTACCAGTCTCCTGCCTCAACTCCTACTCCTCCCTTTCCTTCCCCTCGTTCTTCGTTAAAGACAGGCACTTTGAAACCAATTAGATAATATATTGAAATGAGATTAGCGATACAAACAATTTACAGGGATCTAGCAGTTCTTCTCTTCTACTTGTAAAAACACTAGCTTAACAATGACAACTACTAACTAAAAAATCCTAACAGGTGAAACTAATTTACTCAAGGGGTGGCCATCCTCTACAGTTTGAAAAATGCAACAACAGGTAATCAGTTTTTTAATCCAGCGTGGGCTGGGACTTATTTAAATAAACACAAAAATTTATCCTACTCTTTGGTAATCGTTCATTGGACTTTAATAAACAATCAACTCAAAAATTTTTTTACTATAGCTTAATTACCAAAAAGTGGAATTTTACAGAATATTACAAATTTAATTAGACTAACCTTTACAACATTTGTACAGCCGATCTTGTGAACTGCTCTTTCCTCTGGTACAGGGTGGATGTGATGAAACCTGACACTTAGGTCTCTGTGACTTCCTAAGGGGTGGCTTGAATTTAACACACGGAAACAAAAATCCACGGTGCCTATCCTTCCTCGGAACGAAAGCAAAGTTTAGCGTTTGAACTGAAACTTAGTCCAGGAAATCCTTTGCGTGGCGAGTGGGAGACGGCTAGTTGCCAAAGTTTCTACACAGCACGTGTATTTAATTTTATTTTATTAGTTTATTAGCTTTGACCGCCTGCGGGAGACAGATTTTTGAGTTAGCGGTACGGCAGAACACAAACTTTTATGATCACTATCCGACGGTAAACCGCGATGGTTCGACGTATTATTTCACCAGCTCTTCTTGGGGCAAATATCTATCCGAAACGCAGCGCTCCTTCGACAAATGACCTTACGGCACTAGTAGGAAATTCCACCTGGGGCGGATCCCGAAATTCTGCGCCTTGAGGACTAGGGCAGCACTTTGAATTATATATCCTCGAGAAATCACAACGTATCCTAACGCGATTCACTGCATCCAAAGTAAACTGGGGTGAAGCTCAAGGGTTCGCCAAAATATCACCTGATTGGAACCTAGGTCTTCTTCGCCAAAAAATCAACGCGAAAAGAAAATAACACTTCGAAACGGGTGCAAAAAGCACGCAACTGCGAGCAACCGAAATAAGCCGGTGGCTCAAACCACCAAGTGTACCAAAACGATCGCTCAAGGTACGTGTTGACCGCTTGACGTACTAACCGCGAGTCTTTCCAAAAACGATCCCCTTCTTCAGAATTGAAATGAAAAAACCACACCCAAATTACCATAAAACAAAAATGGCTCCCGCTAGAAATTCTCCCATTGGTTCAGATAAATAAGACTTAACCCACTCTAACTTCGTCATTAACCTCAAAGAACTGCTGACTCAAACTGATCTCACGGTTTTCTGCTGATGACGTGAAAGCTCCTTATCTCTGATAGCTCGGTGCTACATCCGCTCCTATTCTCGGTCTAGACGGCGCCAAAGTTGATAAACAAACGACAAAAAACTCGCATTACTCATGATGACGTCAATCAGCTTTGCACTCTTCCCACGACGAAATTAAATCTGAGCGAAATTAAATCTATCAGACCATAGTCTTGAGCGAACCGAAATGCCCAAACACAAAATTTCTAACCGGAACAAATAATGAAATATACAGGGTGACCTTCACTATCATGACAAGAAATTCGAAATTTTTAATGAAATTTGGCGCGAAATCAAACCACTCGTTACACGCTTATGGATTTATGCGTTAGATGTCGTTGAAACAAAATTAATTAAACAATAACAAACTGAAACAACTAGTCCGAAACAAATCACAAAATAAATTCACCGATTACAAATATCAAATGCTAAAAATAACGAGTAACGAATTCGAATTATGCACACTTTACCGCTTCAATTTTTTTGCAGCGACATCTAATGCATAAATCCATAAGCGTCATATTACAGTTTTAAACGGTACATGTTTATACTGCTCCGCAATAGAGGGCGCTTTTAAGAATACCTAAATTTGTTTCCCAAAAAATGCATAAGGTTAACAATCTGTGTATGTGTAGATCTGTGCTATTGTTTACAAATGAGTAACAAATAACATATTGTACATTATACGCCAGGTAATAGTTTTTACTGGCTCTAGGAGATGACAAGCTCGCCTAACGGCTCGCTAGTCAACTTCTCCTATCGCCAGTAAAAACTCATTTACCTGGCTAATAATGTAAAATACTATT